ATCTATCTATCTATCTATCTATCTATCTACCTACCTACCTGTCTATCTATCTGTCCATTTCTGTGTAATCATATTTGACGTGTGGACTGGGCAATGGGGTGAGAAGGGAGCTGGAGCCAGAGGAGTCATGCATTCACTCAGCAAACTCTTACTGAGCACCTACTATGTGCCAAGTGCTGGGTTACAGAGGTGAAGCAGACACAGAGCCTACCCTCATAGAGTTCTCAGTTTACTGGAAAGACATAATCACAATAATATTTATGGTAGTTACGACTTATTGAGCACCTACAGGGTGCCAGGCACTGTCCCGGCCCCTCTGCCTGACTTATCTCATTGAATTATCAGCGTTACTAAGCGAGGCTGGTTCTATGATTATCCTATTTTACTCAGATAAAACTGAGACCCAAAGAGGTGAAAAAGCTGGTTCAGGTGGACACAGGTGGTCACAGCTGAGATGCAGATTTGAATACACGTCTCTCCTACGTTGGATCTTGGATCTGACATTGTGCTTTCTCCTGGTTCCTGTATTCAGTCATTCCTTCATTAAGCATTGTTTGCTGAGTCAAAGCTGGGGCCAGACTGCTCTGTCCGGGACACCCCCGGATGCCTGCATAGAAATAAGAGCTAAATCCCTGAACTCAGATGAGCTCAGCCAGAGAGCGGCTGAGACAGAGAAGGGCAACCTTGTGAAGCCCCGAGGGAGAGAGAGAGTTTTGAGAAGGAGGAGGTGGACTTCGAGATGAGTGCCCTGAGGGACCGAGCGGGTGACCCCCAAGCTTGGGCTATGCCAGGCTTTGGGGGTCCCTGAGAGCAAGCTCAAGAATGCAGCAGATGCCAGGCAGCGAAGGGTTCAGAGTGGGGGATGATGAAGGGCAGGCTTCTCTGTTTAGAAATGTGGCTTTTCGAGAAAAAAAGAAGTAGAATTGTCACCAGAGGCAAGGGATTAGTTTTTTTCCTTTTCGTGGCTTGGTTTTGTTTGGTTGAGAATGGCGGGGCAGGTGTGTGTTCATAGGTGGGGGAGGAAACTGGTTGAGAAGGAGAAATGAAAATACAGGACGGGGAGAGGATGCTTCCCCATGGCTCCGATCACCGCCAGACACCATCTATGTTCACTTCTGTCTTCACTATCTGTTTCCCACCAGCCACAAGGGCAGCTCTGGAAAGGCACAAGTTCTGTCTCATTCACTGTGGGATCCCAGTGCCTGGCACACAGTAGACACTTCATAAATACTTTTGGTATTGAGTTGAATTCACAGGGTTCTTCTGGGAGCCCAGTTGTTAGTCCTAGGAAGAGAAGGATTCATGGGGGCCTTAAGGAGGGACTTCTCTCTGATGCTACCATGACAAGAGAGAGGGAGAGAAAAAGAATAGAACGGCAAGGAGAGGCAGGAGCCAAAAATCCAAGTCTTTGGCGGGGTACAGTGGCTCATGCCTGTCATCCCAGCACGTTGGGAGGCATGGGTGAGAGGATCACTTGACCCCAGGAATTCGAGACTAGCCTGGGCAACATGGTGGGACCCCAACTCTATAAAAAATGCACAAAGAGACTGGGCGCGGTGGCTCACGCCCATAATCCCATCACTTTGGGAGGTTGAGGCGGGCAGATCACGAGGTCAGGAGATCGAGACCATCCTGGCTAACATGGTGAAACCCCATCTCTACTAAAAATACAAAAAATTAGCCGGGCGTGGTGGTGGGCCCCTGTAGTCCCAGCTACTCGGGAGGCTGAGGTGGGAGAATGGCATGAACCCGGGAGGCGGAGCTTGCAGTGAGCCGAGATCGCGCCACTGCACTCCAGCCTGGGCGACAGAGTGAGACTTCATCTCAAAAAAAAAAAAAAAAAAAAAAAAAAGAAATTAGCCAGGCATGGTGGTGCCCACTGTAGTCTCAGCTACTCGAGAGGCAGAGGCAGGAGGGAGGATGGCTTGAGCCCAGGAGGTGGAGGCTGCAGTGAGCTGTGATTGTGCCTTTGCACTCCAGCCTGGGGGACAGAGACAGACCCTGTCTCAAAAAAAAAAAAAAAAAAAAAAAAAAAATCCAAGTCTTCTCAAAAAAGTGTGTGTGGGGTGGTGGGGTGAGGGGCGGAATTAACAGAAGCAGAAAATGGAGAATACTAGTAAGTACCTATGTCTTGTGAAAACACTCTAGAAGGTGAGCTGTCATTGATTTATTAGCATTACTCTGCATTTGCTATGGCTCTAAGCTATACATGTATAAATTCATTTAATCCTAACAACAGCTCTCCGAGGCAGGTGAGCTTCAGTCAGTCCTGAGGCACTCTGGCCAGTGGTGAGGAAGCCAGGATTTGAACCCAGGACTTGGAGCTGATACAGAACCTGTGATGTTACCCACTGGGCCACACACTTCCCCAACTGACATGAGTTTATATACCTTATTTTTATGTTTATGTATTCATTTATTCATTAATAGAGACAGGGGTTTGCTGTGTTGCTCAGGCTAGAGTGCAGTGGTGTGATCATAGTTCACGGCAACCTTGACCTCCTGGGCTCGGGCCATCCTCCCACCTGAGCCTCCCAGGGTGAGCCGTTGTGCCTGACCCACCTGTGCCTTGTTTTATATGGTACATTCCTCACCAGGAGCCTCTGCGGCTGGAGGGGCTCATAATTCTCACATTTTACATGAAGAATAGAGAAGTGTAGTGACTCGCCCAGGCTCACACAAATACTAAGTGGCTGAGCTGGGACTCCAGCTTGCATCTCTCTAACTGCAAGCCTGGCACTTTCCCCTTCCCTGAGGGAAGACCTGTAGGAAGTTGGCACGGAATCAGGTGCCAAAAAAGGGCTACCACCTGGACGTGGCAGGCAACGTTCTGTGGTGTTTCTACAGGCATCTCCTGAGTCACCCCAGCTCAGGAACGGGGCAGAAAAAGTTGGGGGTTGGCAAGTTAGGAACAACAGGAAGAGAACGGGGACAAAGCTTCAAGTCCGCGAGTGGGGCTGCCTGTCCTCCCTGGCCGTTCCTGGGTTGAGGCTGAGCGAGACAGGATGAAATCTGAGCAGAAGCCCAGGGCTGGGGGACTTGGCAAAGCCCCAGTGTGGTGGGTGGGAGGGAGGCCGTGCCCTGGAGGGGGATTCCAGGGTTCCTGTTCTTGGCGGGGAAGAGCCCTGGATCGTGGGTGGCCCAAGCCCGACTGATCACCATCTCTCCTGATAGCCACCTGGGCACTGTGACCTGCTTCAGAAAACAGCTGCTCCTGTGGCGGTAATCCCAGCACTTCGGGAGGCTGAGGTGGGTGGATCACTTGAGGTCAGGAGTTCGAGACCAGCCTGACCAACATGGTAAAACCCCGTATCTACTAAAAATACAGAAATTAGCCAGGTGTAGTGGCGTGCACCTGTAATCCTAGATACTTAGGAGGTTGAGGCAGGACAATTGTTTGAACCAGGGAGGCAGAGGCTGCAGTGAGCTGAGATAGGACCACTGCCCTCCAGTCTGGGCGAAAGAGCGAGATTTCGTCTCAAAAAAAAAAAAAAAAAAAAAAAAAACAACCAAAAGAAACAAATTCTGAGTACACAGTGGAAAACATTCCCCAGGGGTCGTGCCAGGGTGAGGGGAAGTAGAGCTTCGTATGCGAGTTACCAGGAATCTTGGAGCTGGCCCACGCAGGAGTGTGGGAGGCAACAGAGAGGTCCTTAAAACCAGGCGGGCCCAGCCCTGGCCTCTTCCGCGGGCCTGAGGACGGAGAAAAGGTCGCACTGGTGAGGAATCTCATCTTTGGGGCTGCTTTGCCTGAGGGAGGTGCAGAGAGCAGGGCCAAGAGAGGGGCTATGAGAGGAAACACCTGTCCCCCTTGGTCAGGGGAGCAGGGCCTGGAGAGGGGTGAACCCCCATCACCTCCCTCACAGACAGCAGGAGGTGTCCGTGATGTGAGGCTCCGCACTGTGCATTCTTTCCAGCCAGGAGACGTGAACTGGGAGGTCCTGGAGCTGCTGCATGTGGACTTGGGGGACCCATCCCTTGGCGACCTCGCCACGTCCCAGCCTCCACATCTTCCTTTGGGCTGTCCATCTCTATTCTCTCCCCTCTCATTACTGCAACCGCTGCCCTCCTCCGAAATTCTCTCGCGGCTATGCACTTCCTCTCTGTGGTGGTTTGATTAAAATAGCTCAGCCCACATCCTCCTCCTGGGGCCCACTTTGGGCTCTACTGAGTGGAGTGGCTGTCCACTCTTCAGGGCAGCCGCTCCACGCCTCTGCCACCACCACCATGAAACTGCTTTTTCACTCTTTCCAGGGTGTTCTCAAATGCACCTGGGAGGCTGGTTTTCTCCAGGTATGGGGAGGCCAACAGATCAAGAAATGATTGCCATTTAAAAGATAGCTTGTTATTTACAGCTCCCAGAAGAGGGCGTGATTCCCACCCAGGGACACGCAGGAAGCGCCAGGTCGGCAGGTCAGGAGGAGCCTTGGGAAGCATCGCCCAGGGCCTTTGCTGTGATCTTTGGGAAAGGCTGGTAGGGCAGGAGACACAGTTTAGGACTGGCCAGTTTGAATCAGGTCAGCGGGACTCCAGGCTTCCCTAGTTGTCCAGTGTCTGGCCCTGGGGTGATTTAGGGCAGGAGAAACCTTGGCTTAGAGTATGAGGGTAAGGGAAAGGTGGCCTGGGTGTGCCAAGGGACTGGCTGTGTCAGCAGTGGGATGTATCCATACAGGCCTCAGCATCCTCAGTTCTTGCCTCCTCAGAAGAAAGAATTCTCACGCCTGTAATCCCAGCACTTTGGGAGGCCGAGGTGGGTGGATCACGAGGTCAGGAGATCGAGACCATCCTGGCAAACATGGTGAAACCCTGTCTCTATTAAAAATACAAAAAATTAGCTGGGCATGGTGGCGGGCACCTGTAATCCCAGCTACTTGGGAGGCTGAGGCAGGAGAATCGCTTGAACCCAGAAGGTGGAGGTTGCAGTGAGCCGAGATGGTGCCACTGCACTCCAACCTGGTGACGGAGTGAGACAAAAGAAAGAATTTGACTGAGGGGCATAAGGCAGAAGGAGAGACTGAGGCAAGTTTCACAGCAGAAGTGAAAGCTTATTAAAAAGCTTTAGAGTAGCGATGAAGGGAAGTAAAGTATACTTGGAAGAGGGGCCAACCAGGTGACTTGAGAGATTCAGGGGTTCTGTTTGACCTTTGACTTGGGGTTTTATACATTGGCATACTTCCGGGGTCTTGTTTTCCTTATCCGCCCACCTGCTAGCACTTGGGAGGGAGCATGCGCAGTGTGTTTACTGGAGTTGTACGCGTGTTCCCTTGAGGCATTCTTCTCTTACCAGCCGAACATCCCTAGCAGGTCCTATACCAGTTCAACTCTGCCATTTTGCCTCTTCATGCGCATGTGTGAGCCTACTCACCCAATACCTGAGATCTGACTGGAAGCGACTGACCACCAGCTTCAGGTGTTCCTGTGTATTGGGAGACTGCCTTTCCCTGGTGCTGGCTGTGACCAGTTATTATTTTAGAGAGACGGTTAACAACTGCCTGCCCATCGCCTGATGGTTGCCTGACATTCCTGTCCTGCTCCTGTCTGACCAGCTACCTACTGTCACAGTCGGTCTGCAGGTGAAAGGCCCGCTCACAGAGGAGCCATGTGAGGTGTCTAGGAATTAACTAGCCCTGGAAGGAGCAGGCTGTCTCTGGCCTCCAAGATGTCAAAGCGTCCTAAAATACAGAAAATCGAAAGCATGTTTAGTGCCCAGGGATGCTCAGAGGCAGTGGAGTGTAGAGTCAGTCAAGGAAATAGATTGACAGTCCTGGTCACTTAATCTGCCTGAGCCTCAATTTCCTTATCTGTAAAATCAACAACTGTTATTCATTCAACAAGTGGCTGTTTAAAAGGACAGACTCCAGGCCTGCCAAGGTCATTGATGGGTTTAGAGAGATAGCACGTAGTGTTTGGCACACCAGAGATGCCCAGGGAGTGGCAGTTGGTGTCACTGTGCTGCAGGCTCCAGGGAGCGGCAGAGGAAGATTGGTGTGGAATGGTGGTGTCTAGGGCCATTTCTTTGGCTGTTTGGAGCCCTTGGAGCAGAGGCTATGGGTGGACAGAACCCTCAGGAATGTTCTTGGGATTCAGACTTGCTGCCGGACAAGGGTTGTCATGGAGGCCAGCTGTGGACAGAACCCTCAGGAATGTTCTTGGAACTCAGAGTTGCTACTGGACAAGGGCAGGATCCCCGGGGAGTCTGAGGCATATTTGGAGGCCAGGTCTTGGGAGGTGCCAGGGGTTCAGGGAGAGCTCTGGCACAAGCGACCATTCAACTCAGGGACTTGAGACAACAGAGCACTGAAGGGGAGAGCCCCAGGCCTGCCCAGCTGTGGACAAACAAGGACTTTGGATCCTGGGAGGAAGGGAATCAGGCAGCTGCTGGTAAGGAACCTCTGAGAAGCCAAATTAGAATCAGGTGCTGGCCTGAGACACATGGAATTTCCTGGACTCTAGGCTGGCAATGGCTGTTTTTACCAAAGACAGATTCTAAGGAGTGAAGCCAAGGGCTCTGGCCTGAGAGGTAGAGCACGAGAAGGAACAAGCACAGACCCCTCAAAGGATTCATGCCTCTGGGAAGCGAGGTTGTGTGGTGCAGTGAGGGACACAGAAGGACGGGGCTGAAATCCGGCCTCCACTGCTTAATGGCTGTGTGACCTCTGGCAAGGTCCCGGAGCTTTCTGAGCCTCAATTTTCCCAGTGGCAAAATGAAGACAGTGATACCTACCCTGCAGCACTCTCATGAACCCCCAGTGTTGACTTATTCTTTAGGTAGACATAGTGCCTGGGTCCCAGGAGAATGTCTTAATTTTATAAATTCTTTCAAAATCAAGAGGAAAGAAATGAACATAATAATAATGAATATATAATAATAAATCCAGCTTGGATTATGTTTTTCTTTATACCAACATAGTTGTCAAAAATAATCATGTGAATATAGAGATAAATATAAAGATATAGCAGAAAGATACCTGCAAAGGCAAAAGCGCTTGGGGCCCATAAGAGACATAACCAGGCCCTGAAAGCCACTGGCACATTGTGGGTGCCCAGGCTTCACGGCTGAGCACCTACTCTGGGCCAGGCACCATTCTCAGTGTTAGAATAGAGGGGTGCATCCGCCCAGCCTCTGCCTGCAAAGAACCATCAGGGTAAACATCCTTGAAAACAGGCAACTACAGCACCGTGAGCTAAAACGAGTATGAGACATAGAATCATCGGCTTTCCTTCTGCCCTCCTGCTGTGGGCGTCAAGTGCTGTCTGTCCAGGAATTTTTTTCTTCCGTCTTGCATCTTTCATCAAAGGCTGTGTCTAGGTTATATCAAGTCCTGCTTCTCCATGTATGCCACCAAATCTCCATTTAAGAATCCTGCCCATTCTCTGGTCCCTTTTAGCCATTTTGCCAACAGGGTGAGTATGTCTGGGGTGTTTGTGGTTAAGAGTGCACTGGTAGCAGGGACAGTGTACCTGCAAATGCTTCCATTATCCCCTCTGCCTCCAGGGCCCTCCATGGACCTATAGTTTTTTTGCCTCGTCTTTTCTGGCTGGACTCACCTTGTTTATTGCCCACCATGATGGAGAGTGGAATAGGCGGGGCCTGGTGGGGAGCCGGGGTGGGATCTGAATGGGCCACGGGGGCGTTGCCTGATAGACCTGTCGTGGGATGTGTTTTCTTTTCCAGAACCCTAGAGATGAAGGACTTCCTCCCACTGGCTTGGTTCCTGGCTTGTAGTAAGTGCTGGCCCCATGACCTCCAAATGAACTTCTACCCCATGGGAGTAACAGGGTGGTGAAAAGGACACCAGCCATTGAGGTTGTAGAGACTTGGGTTTGAATCTTGGCTCTGCACTGACTTCATAGACATCAGCAGGAACCTTCATGCCTCCGAGCCTCTGCTTCCTCATCTGGCACGGGCTAATGCAGTCCATGCTTAAGGCATAAGGCTGTGGCAGGGTCCTAGGAGATATTGTACCTCAGCTGTGTAAAGGTTGTGGACATGGAGGTTATGTGGCTGGCAAATGTACGAGGCAGATATTTTCCTTGTATGCAAATAAAAGAAGATTTTAAAAATCCCCAAATCAATCCAAATAAAAATCAAAACTCTTATCTAAATGTCCCAGCCTATGATTCCTGGGTCATTCTCAGCTCAGGCTTGTCCAGCTGGGAAGTGACTGTACAGATGGCTTTAGTCCCATCCTGCAGCCCCGTGACTGTATATACAACAACCCCCTGACAGGCTGTCCTGCTCTTTGATGTCTTGCCAGATCGCTGGAGATGCCGGGAGGAGCTGGAGGCCTGGTGCAGGGAGAGCCTTGGGCTCGCTGTGAAACCCTGGACAGGGCACCTTTTCCCTCCATGCCTCAGTTTCCCATTTGTAAGATGAGGGAACTGGCTTCAGCGATTTTTAAGAGTCCTATCCTGCTTTTAGATTCTCTGCCTTATGTTCTAAAGGGTGTGAGGGGAGGGAGTGGTGGGGAAGAGGGATGTATTGCCAAGAGAGACAGGAAACTCCTGTCTGCTGCTTCATGCAGATACATTATGAATTACACCTTATGGCCGGGCGCAGTGGCTCAACCCTGTAATCCCTGCACTTTCGGAGGCCGAGATGGGCGGATCACGAGGTCAGGAGATCGAGACCATCCTGGCTAACACGGTGAAACCCCGTCTCTACTAAAAAATATAAAAAACTAGCCGGGCGCGGTGGCGGGCGCCTGTAGTCCCAACTACTCGGGAGGCTGAGGCAGGAGAATGGCGTGAACCCGGGAGGCGGAGCTTGCAGTGAGCTGAGATCCGGCCACTGCACTCCAGCCTGGGCGGCAGAGCGAGACTCCGTCTCAAAAAAAAAAAAAAAGAATTACACCTTATACGTCATGGTCACTTACTTTGTGTCTGCTACCATGCTCAAAATTTACACACTTAATCTTATTTTAACCCTCATGATAACTCCAAGATGCAGCTGCTAATTTTGGGTCGCCATTTTCCAGATGATGAAACTGAGGCTCTGACTCCATTCAATACCATACTTTGAATTAGTGGCACAGCCAGGATTTGAACCCAGGTCTGCTCATTTTTCAATTCCAAACTCTGAACCAATTCTCCATACTGCTTGCACCTCCCTTCCCACTAATTGAGAGAATGAAAAAGAGACACACAGGTCCGTCCCTCCAAGCCCTGGGTGGGAGAAAAGGTAGGAGATGTTGGGCAGTGGGCCTAAAGCAGGGCTGGGCTGCCTGGGTGTCACCTGGGGACATGGGCTATCTTCCAGGTGTGCCTGCTGTGCAAGGAGGCTTGCTGGACCTAAAATCGATGATCGAGAAGGTGACAGGGAAGAATGCCCTGACAAACTATGGCTTCTACGGCTGTTACTGTGGCTGGGGCGGCCGAGGAACCCCCAAGGATGGCACTGATAGGTGAGCTGATTGCTATAACTGCCCTTTGGGCTCCAGGCTCTGCACCCATGTTTTCTTGTTCAATTACATATCAGTTCTGGAAGATGAGTATTAAAGTACCATTTTACAAATAAGAAAACTGAATCTGAAAGAAGTTAGCCGGCAATCCCAAGATCTCAGTGGCCTAAGGTGTCAGTTGGTCGACTGTGGCGTAACAAGTGGTCCTCAATGTAGTAGCTTATACAGCACTGGTCATTTACTATGCTTATGAATCTGCCATTTGGGTAGGGCTTGTGGGGGTGGCTTGTCTCAGCTTCAGCTTGGACAACTGGGGCTGGACAATCCACCTTCCAGATGGCTCACTCCTATGGCTGGCAAGTGGTCAGCATCTCCTGGCGTAGGAGCGGGTCAGAGGCCTCAATTCCTGTCACTTAGGCCTCTCCAAGGATGTTCAGGATTCCTCCCAGCATGGTGACTCTTGGGTTGCAAGACTGAGTGTCCCCAAACTGCAAGACCAAAGAGTATGCTGTTTTATGGTCAGCCTCAGAAATCCCATTGTGTCACTTACACTGTCCTCTTGGTCAAGACAGTCACAGAGGCTTTAAGAGGGAGGGTATCTAGAGTCCACCTCTTGATCGGGAAGTGCTAAAGTTCTAGAAGAATGTGTGAAATGGGAGATTTTGTTCCTTGGAAAGCATACCCAGCTGGGTTAACAATTCCGATACTGCTAGACATATATAAAGGAAAGGGATGATTAAGCAAATGAAGGACAGATGGTTGGGGCCAAGTTTCTCACTGTTGGAGTGGGATAAGTCAGGGCAGGAAGCCAGAATGATCCATGTGCAAAAGGACTAGAGTTGGAGATGTCAGTATGGACTCCTGTTTAGCTTATTGTAGATGCAGATGTTTACATGTGGAAGTATGCATAGGTAGCAGTATGCATAGATAGCGTGGATATATTAGTATCATATAAGATGTAAGTAATAGGAGAAAATGGTGTTTCCTCTGTTAGATCTTCTCAGTTTTTCTGTAAACCAAGAATACTTTTTATGTGCAATCTGCTACACCTAACATACAGTCATCCCTCGGACTGGTTCCAGGACCCCTGTGAATATCAAAATCTGCAGATGCTCTAGTCCCTGATATAAAATGGCACAGTATGTGCATATAACCTGTGTGATCATATACTTTTTTTTATACACATGGGCAAATAGAAACATTCTTTTGCTATCAGTGGAGAGGGTCTAAAAGAAATGACACCCCAGTAGCAACAAGCACACTTAATGCCTAGATCTAGTTTCCAATGTCATTCTTCAATAGAAGGCCCCTTCCAAGTCATATATATATATAAAAATATAAATTATATATAATATAAATTTTATATATATACATATTCATATATAGCCAGGGTTCCTTGAAGAAATGGCCAATTCTAGGACCAAGGCAGGAAATATACAAGATGAACCTGGAACTTCTTTTAGTGCCAAAAAGTAAGGAAGTGCTTAAATAAACACAAACAAAATGAAAGCCCACATTGATGGGGATGTGACAAGGGGCACCTGTGCCGACTGAAAGAGCCCCCAGTGTACACTGGAACAATTTAGCAACAAAATAACCCCAAACTCCAGTCTTATGAGAAAAAAGAATATCAGACAAATCCCAATAGTGGGCATCTTATAAAATATCTAACCAGTACCCCTCAAAACAGTCAAAAACAAGGAAAGTGTGAGGAACTGCCACAAACAAGAGGGGCCTAAAGAGACAAGACAATGGGCCAGACACGATGGCTCATGCCTGTAATCCCAGCACTTTGGGAGGCCGAGAGGGGTGGATCACCTGATCACCTGAGGTCAGAAGTTCAAGACCAGCCTGACCAATGTGGAAAAACCCCATCTCTACTTAAAATTTACAAAATTATCTGGGCATGGTGGCGCATGCCTGTAATCCCAGCTACTCAGACGGCTGAGGCAGGAGAATTGCTTGAACCTGGGAAGCAGAGGTTGCGGTAGTGAGCTGAGATCACGCCATTGCACTCCAGCCTGGGCAATGAGAGCAAAACTCCATCTCAAAAAAAAAAAAAAAAAAAAAAAAAGAAGGACAAGACAATGAAATGTAACATGGCATCCCCAGTGGGATCCTGGGACAGAAAAACGACATTAGGTTAAAAACTAGGGAACTCTGATTACGGCTTTTTTTTTTTTTTTACAATTAGTAAGATAATAATGATGTACTATTATTTAGTGAATAATTTTCATTAATAATGTATCAATATTGGTTCACTAATTCTAACAAGGGTATCATACTAATATAAGATGTTAGTAATAGGAGGAACTAGGTGTTTCCTCTGTAAGATCTCAATTTTTCTGTAAACCAAGAAAACCTTTTATATGCAGTCTGCTACACCTAACATACAGTCATCCCGTGGACTGGTTCCAGGATCCATTCCCGTGGATACCAAAATCTGCAGATGCTCTAGTCCCTGATATAAAATGGCATAGTATTTGCATGTAACCTATGTGATTGTATCCCCCCAAGCTTTTTTTTTTTTTTCTTTGAGACAGGGTCTCAGTGGTTACCCAGGCTGGAGTGCAATGGTGCGATCTCAGCTCACTGCATCCTCGACCTTCTGTGCTCAGGTGATTCTCCCACCTCAGCCTCCTGAGTAGCTGGGACTACAGGCGCATGCCACCATGCCTGGCTGATTTTTTGTATATTTGTAAGTAGAGACAGGGTTTCACCATGTTGCCCAGGCTGGTCTCAAACTCCTGGACTTTAGCAGTCTGCCTGCCTTGGCCTCCCAAACTGCTGAGATTATAGGCGTGAGCTACTGCGCCCGGCTGTGATCATATACTTTAAATCATTTCTAGACTACTTGTCATAGCTGATACAATGTAAATGCTATGGAAGTTGTTGTTGTATTGTTTGGGAATAATGACAAGAAAAAAGTATGTACACGTTTAGTACAGACACAAGAAATTAGGCCTGCTTACATTTTCCATCCATATTGGTTGATCCACAGATGCGGGACCTGTGATATGAGAAGTTTATCTCTGGCTCACATAACAGTTCAGTATGAATCACACGTTGGCTCCTCCCATCTTGTAGTTCTGCCATCACCTATGGCCTCGGAATCCTCAGAACGCTGGGTCATCTCCATCCAGCCAAAGGATGGAGGCAGAGGGACAGTGGAGTAAAGTGTGGGAGGTTTGTCTGGGCAGGTCTGGAGGTGGAGTGCATTAATTCCACCTACCTCACCTGGCTGGGACCAAGTCATGTGGCCACACCTACCTGCAAGAGAGGCTGGGAAATGTAGTCTAATCACGAGACCAGGAGGAAAACGAGGGTCCATGACCTGCTGGCTGGAAATGAGGAACAGGAAATTACTCAGTCACACTACAAGATCCTCTCTGCCACATCGCGTCCACCAAGGTGGCCTCTGCTAAAGTGACATGGTTGAATTTTTGCTTCTATTAGGGACGGGGGTCAGGAGGGCATCCCTCCCACTTGGGATCTAAGTCTCTTGCATGGACAGGTGCTGTTGGGTGCATGACCACTGCTATGGGCGGCTGGAGGAGAAGGGCTGCAACATTCGGACACAGTCCTACAAATACAGATTCGCATGGGGCCTGGTCACCTGCGGTAAGGCTGGGGCTTCCCGTTCAGGCCACTGGAAGAGCACCTGACTTTAAGTTCAGCTGCCCTAGAGGACAGCCAGCCTGTATCTTGTTGAGGGAGGAGGGGTTGGGTACAGAACTGGGATGAGAGGAGCAGGATTACTGCGGCTATATCAGTCCCCCAGGGTAGGGCTGAAACATCTTAGCATCCACCGGGTGCAAATGCTTGACATGCTTCCTTTTCCTTGATTCCCCCCAAATATACCTGTAGAGTAGGTTTAGTCTCCTCCATTTTAGACATCAGGAAACAGAAGCTTGAAGGCCTGCCAGTGCACACAGCACGATTCAGGCTCAAGGCCTCTGAGTTCAAGGCTAAGTCTGGGGATGGTTCTGCTCTGTGAGAATGAGAGTTCCTCCAGAGCAGCAGCTGCCTCCATCATCAGACTGGGAGTCCCCCGGAGGAAGGAAGGTGCTTCCTCTATCAGACTGGGAACTCCCTGAGGGCAGGAACTGTCTCTTGAACTGAAACCTCACCCTGAGCAGCAGCTGCGCCCCTTCCATCAGATTCTCTATTCCCCTGATTTAGGAGCCATGCCTCTTTCATCAGGCTGAAAGCTCCTTGGAGCAGGAGGTCCATGGGGTCTCTGCTGAGACTGGAGCATGCTCTTCCCGCCCTCATTCTGCTCTTGGTGTCCTGTTGCAGAGCCTGGGCCCTTCTGCCATGTGCAGCTCTGTGCCTGTGACCGGAAGCTCGTCTACTGCCTCAAGAGAAACCTATGGAGCTACAACCCGCAGTACCAATATTTTCCCAACATCCTCTGCTCCTAGGCCTCCCCAGCGAGCTCCTCCCAGACCAAGACTTTTGCTCTGTTTTTCTACAACACAGAGTTCCGACTCTGCTGGATTCCTGAGAGAGGCTCCTAAGTCACAGACCTCAGTCTTTCTCGAAGCTTGGAGGACCCCCAGGGCCACACTGTACCCTCTAGCAAGTCCCCGGAGAGTGACTCTGGTCACAGGACTTGGTAGGGTCCCAGGGTCCCTAGGCCTCTACTTCTGAGGGCAGCCCCTCTGGTGCCAAGAGCTCTCCACCAACTCAGGGTTGGCCATGTCTCTTTTCTTCTCTGAAGACAGCGTCCTGGCTCCAGTTGGAACACTTTCCTGAGATGCACTTACTTCTCAGCTTCTGCGATCAGATTATCACCACCGCCACCCTCCAGAGAATTTTTACACAGGAAGAGCCAAATTGACTCTCTAAATCTGGTGTATGGATATTAAATAAAATTCATTCTCAAGGCTAATAAAAACCACACAGACATTTTCCTCTGCTGTGGGGGATCGCTGGTGCCTCCTTCTCTGCCGCTGGGGTAATAAACCCAAAGTTATCTACGTTATCTCAGAGACAGAAAAGAAGATTAGTAAATGCAGGGTTTTCTGGGATGAGCTTCAGGCTTTCTCTTGGGCTTATTTCCTTAAACCTTGGGGTCCTCTCCAGTGTTGGGTCTCATTCTTCCTCGATGGGGTGGGGGAAAGATAACTGGTGATTACGCCAGCTTCAGCTTCCAGGCCAGAGAGGGTGGCATTGAGATCCCAGTGCTGGTTTCTTCAGCTGTGTGGTCTTGGACCCATTACTGAACCTCTCTGACTTTCAGTCTATTTGAGAAAGAAACTGTCTTGTTCCTTGCAATGTAAAATGAGACTTCTAAAGCCCACCTTGATGCTGATATGGGGGATGCTAAGATTCTAGGATTTCACACAGCAGGAATTTGTTTTAAATAGGTGTCAGCTATGGGGTTTATTTTTTTACAAAGTAAGGACATTTAAAAAACCAACCCGTCTATCAATTCACAAAAGAAAGGATGTTTGTTCTGATACCAAGACTGCAAGAAGAAAGGATGTATTCCAAAACAAAGGAACGTCCTTCCAAGAAAGTACCTATGGCTTCTTTATTCCGACATACCCCAAAATAACTGCATGATAAATAGGGTCTATATTTAAAAAGCTCTAGTGGTGAATGTTTTCAAAATAAAATTTAATTTTATGAGATTACCCTGAATGCACCAGTGCTTTAGAAAAGTTTGATTTAGACTCGGTGTCTATATTTGACAATGCCACACAGGGAGGGACTTAAATGCCGAATTTGCTCATGAAATATTTAAAATCAAAGCCATTTCCCAGATCCAATTTTGAATGGGCATGTGGGGGAAATTGAAGGCTTCACTCTAATTCCATTTTCCTTCAATCGTGATATTCTGGATGACAGAGAAGAGAACCCAGTCCGGACCTCTCCCTTCTCCCGTGAGAGTCAGGTGGGAGGCAGAGCAGTGTTTTGCTGGTAAGTTCTGCTAGAGGTGGCTGTGGGCAGGCCCTTCTCATTGGCACATCCCAGCTCAGAGTCCCAGCATCCACACAGGAGCGGGATGCCACGAGGTTATGAAGGCAACACTATAGGCTGTCATGGGTTTGAGCTGGAAGGAATCATAGAGAACCTTCATTTATCTACCAAGAAATTGAGGTACAGAAAGGTTAGGAGACCGTCCAAAAGTCACACAGCACATCAACAGCAGAAGTAGGATTCGACCTCAGATCCTAACTTTAAACCCTGAACCCTGGGCTCTGGCCACTATCCCACATTGCCTTCAATCCCAGCCCACAAAAGGAGCAGTTCAGGGACTCATCCACATTAGGGGTTCATCGGGGGAGCCCCTGGATTCCAGCTGAGGACCAGCTCCATGTCTTCTCTGCTCCAACTGCCTCTTTGGATTCTGGAGGCTGTCCCCAGGTGGTCAGTCAGTCTACGGCTCTGGGCTTCATCCTCAGTGGAGGAGATCCCATTGCTGTCTTCCACCTTGGCTGCTGTGAGCAGTTCTGGGGACATGAGAGCTAAGGGAGCCTCGAAACTTGGGAAAAGGCGTTCTCCTTGACTGTTGCATTTGCTGATCCCTTGGCTGGCAGGAGAACCATCAGGGAGGTCATCCCATTTTAAGAGAGCTAGTGAAACATACAGATCAGATCGCAGTGCCTCCCTAGCTAGATCTTTATACATCCTTAATGGACAGATTGCCCTGTACATACAGATCCTTTACTGTCATCTGAATTGGGCTTCAGTCACAAATGTGAGCCTCCAAACGTAAGTAAAATGATCTCTATAAGCATATGTACAGAGGGGTTGGGCAGCGGGAGCTCCCTTGTAGTTGTTACCAAACTGAAAAGGCCTCAAAGGTAAAGCCCACTGATCAGGATGCAAGGGAGGAGGACAGAGCTAAGGTGGGCTGATGAAGTAGGAGGTGTATGGAGTTTCTTCTTCTTCTTTCTTCTTCTTCTTCCTTCTTCTTCTCCTCCTCCTCCTCCTCCTCCTCGTCCTCCTTCTCCTCCTCCTCGTCCTCCTCCTCCTCCTCCTCGTCCTCCTCCTCCTCCTCCTCCTCCTCCTCCTCGTCCTCCTCCTCCTCCCTCCTTCTCCTCCCTCTTCCTCCTTCTTCCTCCTCCTCCCTTCTCCTCCTCCTCCCTCCTCCTCCTCCTCCTCCTTCTTCTTCTTTCTTCTTCTTCTTTTTTGAGATGGAGTTTTGCTCTTGTCACCCAGGCTAGAGTGCAATGGCGTGGTCTTGGCTCACTGCCACCTCCGCCTCCCAGGTTCAAGCGATTCTCCTGCCTCAGCCTCCTGAGTAGCTAGGATTACAGGCATGCACCACCATGCCCAGCTAATTTTGTGGTTTTGATGGAGACAGGGTTTCACCATGTTGACCAGGCTGGTCTCGAACTCCTAACATCAGGTGATCCACCTGCTTCGGCCTCTCAAAGTGCTGGGATTACAGGTTTGAGCCACCGAGCCTGACTGGAGTTTCTTCTTTGTGCGGGACACCATGTAGACATTATTAACTGCCCAGTGAGGCTGCTGTTTTGATTCCCATGTGAGGGGTGGGACCTGACACCCAGGAACGTGAAGTGTTTTGCTTGAGACCGCACAGGTAATAAGGAAGAGAGGTGGGAAGGAAGCAGTCTGTCGATCTCAAAGCCATGTTTTATGGTCTCTCTTTTTTTTTTTTTTTTCCAGCAACAGGATCTCACTTTGTCACCTAAGCTGGACTGCAGTGGCACGATCATAACTCACTACAGCCGCAAACCCCTGGGCTCAAGTGATCCTCCCACCTCAGCCTCCAGAGTTGCTAGGACTACAGGCATGTACCACTACACCTTGCTAATTTTATTTTTTTGTAGAACTGAGGCTTTTGTTATGTTGCCCCGGCTGGGCTTGAACTCCTGGCCTCAAGCGATCCTCCCACCTCAGCCCAAAACTGTGTTCTTAGTAGAACATCACACAGGGGAAGCTTGGAGCTGGGGCCAGGTCTTGCAACAGGCACCAGGGAAAATATATTTTGTTTTGTTCAGGGTGGGTGTGGCAAGTTTGGATTGTGTAACTTTAGCTAAGCTATGTTTCCCAGAATTCCTTTCCCTGTAGAGTTCTGGGTTAGGTTCTGGTTAGTTGCTGTAGTTTAGGGCCCAAAGAGATGTTTTGTTGAGATTTGGAAGGCAGATGGGAAGTGCAGTCATATTCTCTTTACACTTGGGAGCAGGGCATGGTGTGTTTATGGCTCAGGCCCACGGATCACGGATCTGCTGGCTTGCCTTGCTGGGGCGAGCCTGCTGGATTTCTTTGTTTAACTTCTCTGACCTTGGTCCAGATGTGTGTTTAGCTCTGTAAGTAAGGGAACCAGCTTCCCCTGCAGGGTGCATAGGCAATGAAGCTAGGCTGGAAGGTATTGAGACCCATCCGGTTCTTGTTTGTTCTTTTGGGTTTCATGCATCCTCCCAGGTTCCAATTTGTCCTTGCTGTCTCCTGCCCCTTCACACCCATCTTCCGTTTCAGACTGTGTGCCTTGCTAACTTCAAGCTGTAGCACCTGGCACAGGAGAAACAGCCTCCTATGAAGGACTAAGCCAGCAGTCCCATCTGTACCAGGTCAAATCTCTACCAAAAAATATTGTTGTATAAGAATACTTTTGCCTTTCTGCCTGAACTCCTTAACCTCTTCAGAATTTGGTACTAGGAGAGTTTTCTGAGGAACAGAGCCAGAAGGATGGGCTCTTTGAATTGCTTCTGGGTCATCTGGAATTGGTTTTCTTATTTGATTAGAATTAAAGGCATAAACGACTGGTTTTTAGTGGTAAGGGGAACATTGATTGACCACAGCCTGAAGAGATAAAACAGCTGCTTAAATGATCACCTCTGTACACACCTGTTCAAGGGAGACCAAGTCGTTGATGGCACAGAGTGCTTTAGTGGAAACAGAAAAATTATATTATGGGTTGGAGAACTTGGAAAAAGAAAGTGATGGTCTCAAGGCTTTAAAATCTCACTCAAGATCCACAGACAGGGCCAGGCATGATGGATTACGTTTATAATCCTCGTGCTTTGGGAGGCTGTAGCGGGAGGATTCACTGAGCCCAGGAGTTTGAGATTAGCCTGGGCAACATAGTGAGGCCCTGCTTCTACAAAATAAAATTGGCATACAGGACATTAATGCTTCTTTGTCTACCTGTATGGAAGACAGATGCCTGTTAAAGAAAGCCAGTGGAGTACTGCAAACTTAATCAAGCAATGCCTCCAATCACAGCTGCTGTAGTTTTGTTGCTGCAGCCAATCAACACATCCTCTGGCACCTGTTTTATAATTATTCCACTGCAGAATGACTTTTTCCTTATACCTATTAGTAAAACTGTCAGAAGCATTTGCTCTCAGCTTGAAGGGACAGCAATACACTTACACTTTCCAACTGCAGGTCTACATTGACTCTCCAGCTCTATGCCATCATCTAGTCCAGAGGGACCTTGATTATCTTTGCATCCCACCGGACGTCAGCATTGGTGATGACATGTATGACAAGTATGTGCCTTAGGGGGGAAAATCCCACAAGAATTCAGGAGCCTGCTACTGCAGTGGCATTTTCCAGGGGGTCCTTCAGTCTGGGGCATGTTGAGATATCCCTTTCAAAAGGTGGGACAAGTCACAGCATCTGGCCCTCCCATCTATTGAGAAGGAAGCACAGTGCCTTGTGGGCACTTCAGATTTTAGAGATATAGCTAATGTTTCAGGTTAAAGTACCACTGAAGTACCCTTTACCAATGGTACCAATGAAGTACCACTTCAACCCACTTACCAATCGACCTGAACAGTTGCTTGTTTTGAGTGGGGCCTAGAACAAAAAGGTCCAGGCTGCCATGCAAGTGGCTCTGCCACTTGGGTGGTATGACCCAGCAGATGCAATGGTGCTTGACGTGTATATGCACATAGAGATGCTACATGGAAGCTCAGAGGGGCCTCTGTGAGTAAAGCATAGGGCAGACCTTAAGGGTTTTGGAGCAAAGCCATGCCATCAACTGCATAGGACTACTCTTCTTTTGAGAAACAGTATCTGGCTTGCCAGCAGGTCTTGGTGGACACTGAATGCTTGACCTCAGGTTACCAAGTTATCATGAGTCCTGAGATGCCTATCATGAACTGGGTGTTAACAGGCCCATCAAGACAAAGTTCAGCATGGATAGCAGCAATTGCAAGTCAAATGGAAATGGTCTGCCTGAAATCGGGCTTGAATAGCCTCTGAAGGCCCAAGTAAGTTGTATGAGCATCCCCGTGGCCCCAGCTTGCCTGCCACAAGCCTCCTCCGTCGCCTGTACCTATGAGTTCATGGCAAGTTCCCTGTGGCCAGATGCAGGAGAAGGAAAAAGACCCAGGCCTGTTTTACAGATGGCTCTCCACATATGCTACCATTCCCTGACAGTGGACAGCTGCAGCATTGCAGCCTCATCTGGAGTGCTGCTGTTTACATAGGGTGTATTAGTGTTGTTAACCTTATATCTCAATATTCAGGTCAGAAGATATCAAAAGGTATTGTCACTCAACTAGAATAGAAATGAACATTGCCTAAAGATGGATAAAAGGACTTTGTATCCTCTATCCACTTTGGGGAGAGGTTAGCTTGTTTTAGATTGTATACAGGGAAAATCGCATTATGCTTGGCAGGATGTGGCTATTGCCTTTGTCTGGAAGAGGGGCATATAG